GTTTGTGCATTTGTTTGTTGCATTTGATTGTTGCATAACATAATCATACAACAGCAAAAAAAATATAAAAACAAAATCTCAAAAATATTTTCACAATAAACACCCTTATCTCGGATAGTCTGCCTTTTAGCTAGCCTGGTTTTAGGTTCTTTGTAAGCTAAGTAGTCATGCAGTCCGACAGAAGAGATAAGGGATGCTAAAATCTTTCTTTCGCAATAAACACTTTTATCACGGACAGTCTGCCTTTTAGCTAGCCTGGTTTCAGGTTCTTTGTAAGCTAAGTAAGTCATGCAGTCCGATAGAAGAGATAAAAGGTTTTAAAATAAATAAATCAAATAACTACCATAATGAAAGGAAACTGGGCCTTTTTCATGGTGTTAAGCATCGAATCCATCATCCATATAGGTAGTTTCATTATTCTTCGGAAAATACAAAAAAAAAACATCATGCACCATGTAGAAAATAAAACATGATAATGTTTAGGAAAAAACAAACACTTTCATGCATACGAAAACATCATACTCATAGCATGCATTTTCTGTCATTTCTAGAAAAATGGAGGGATCAGGTAGTAAACAGTTGGGAAAAGTGGATATTCCTCACTACCGTGTCGAGAGGTTGAAGCAGTTGTGAGCGCTTATGCTGTCGGAGGTTCGATCCGACTTCGAGAGATCTTACGGACGAATCTTGGACCTCTTGAAAATATGTGTTGACCACGTGTTCATCAGAGTCTTGATCCACTTTTGGAGCTCCAGACTGCATTGCTTCGAGTTCCCTCAGTTTGATTTGGTTTCGACCTTGGAAGAGTACGAGCTTATGATCAGATGGCCCAAGTAAGTTGGGGTCTACATTAGCCAGGGGACTTACGTCTCGGTAAACAAGGTCGCTCACCTCATCCGATTACCACTTCCACAGTCTGCCCTGAAGGGAAAAGGGAGCATTCAGGGGTGGAAGATATCACTTTTAGAGGACCACTTATCCTCTCTGGCTGAAAAAGGAGATTGGCCCACATTCAACAAGACTCTGACACTAATTATGTTTGGGACATTTTTATTCCGCAATGGATGTCTTCTTTGCTTGGGACGTACATTTGAAAAGTCTCGTGCATGCGCTTCTTGCTGACACCTTGCTGTCAGTAGAATTCTGTCGTCATAAGCAAAGAAAAACATTTCGTTGTTGTTCTACATTACTATTTGTTTGGGGCATCACTCACTTCTATGCCTCAAGTCACATGGGAGCATTCCCCGATCCTCTGAGGAGCTTCTCAAAGATCCCCCTCCGCCATCATGGCGCCATGGAGTGTAAGACCGAGTTGGAGCACTGGAACATAGATCACATATCTTGGGCATGTCCTTGGTTCCGACCCGGTCCTGTTCTTATCTGATGCGGAGATCACCCCAATGTACCATTGTTGGGCCTTAGGGGCTTCATAGCTTATTCCCCGAAGATAGCTATGAGGCAGCTTATGAGGACCCAGACCATGCCAACACAGGAAGAAATCAGGAGACTGTGTTTCTTCTATAGTTCCAGCAGCTTCAAGGATGCTCCCACGATCTGGAGAGCATGGGAGAAACCAGTCTACTTAGGGGATGAAGAGCTTAGCAGGGCTTGAGTAGCTGTCTCTAGTGACTTTGAGGAATGGAGGAAGAATAGAGGGGTGCCACATCCACCCGCTCCATCCTCCTCACCATCAGTAAATACAGAACTACGAACCAGAGTCGATGCCTTGACCCAAAGGATAGAAATTATGGGAGCCCAATTGAGGGGCCTTGAGGAGAAAGAACAAGAGTCTATCCTTACCATTGACGGTCTGCAGAGGCAGTGCAAGAAGAAAGACCAAGAGATAGAGCGTCTCAAGGACCAGTGTGCTGACTCCAACAAAGAGGTTGTCCGACCATCTAAAGTTGCTAGAGCAAACTCGAATAATCAACTCTAGGACATGACGGCCAAATTAGCACACCTTGAGGCCGAATTTGCAAAATAGGCACAAGCGACCAAGATGATGCAACAAGACCTCGAAAGGACTCAGTCTGAAGCACAACGAAGGAAGGAGGCCGCCCAAAGACTTAACAGGGACTTAGTTGAGCTACGATGCAAGGAGAGAGACGAATTAGCTCAGTACGGCCAAGTTCTGCAGGAAAGAGACCGAGCCCTTGATAAACTTGATGACTTACAGGCCTTGATCGTCCATCAAGAGGCAAATATAAAAGAGGCTCAAAAATACAGTGAAGATATGAGCCAGGCAGTCCATCGACAGTCTGAAGCACTTACTCGTCATGTACGGAAAACTGAAGGGGAATTACGTAGAAACTAGAACCCGCCTGTGGGTTTCTTTAGGCTTTTTCGTTTCTGCCAAAATGTGCTTCGTAGCATGGTCTAGGGGAATGTACACTTTTTCTAGATAAATAAAATCACGTTTTGTTTATCTATACAACTGTTTATTGCATTCATCTCGCATTCATTGACATATCTCTCCTTGCTTTAAATTAATAAGATAATAAAAAGGAAAGGTTAACTGATGTGCTTTCATAAATCAGAAGAATGGAAAGGAAATCACTCATCATCAGTCTTTCCTCAATGGTTGAGCCACCCACAACGGACAATAAGCCTCAACCGCTGGTTATCACGATCAATAAAGAAGAGGGGGTTAGGACACCGCTGCGATTATTTATGCCCCGTCCTTTCCCCTACGAATAGAATAAAGTTGTACCATGGAAATACGCAAAAAATGAAGATGTTTGCAATATAGTCGGTATTGGGGGCATGACTAGAAGTGAGCGAATCTACTCTCCCAAGGAGTCACAAGAAGACGCCCCCAAAAATAATGCCAAAAATAAAGAAACCGAAGAGGAAAACAAAGAAGAATCCAAGGAGGAAGCAGATGAATTACTCCAGTTCATAAAGCAAAGTGAATAATCCATCATAGACCAACTCAACCGCATGCCCGCGAAGATAACTTTGTTATCTTTGATAATGAGTTCAAAACCACACCGAAACACGCTACTGAGGGTCTTGAATGAAGCCTACATGTCACACACCATATCCCAAGACAAGTTTGAAGGAATCATTGGGAATATCACAGCCAGTGATCATCTTACCTTCACCGATGAAGAACTCCCTCCTGGAGGGTCAAGCCATAACAAGCCTTTACACATATCCGTCAAGTGTAGAGAATACCTCATCGCCAAAGTCCTTGTGGATAATGGGTCATCCCTGAACTTCATGCCTAGGTGCACACTTGACAAATTGGCAATTCAAGTAGTCAATATGCGTCCAAGCAACACCGTCGTTCGAGCCTTCGATGGATCAAAACGTGAAGTAGTAGGGGAAATCAATCTACCAATCCGGGTAGGTCCCACTATCTTCACTGTGGACTTCCATGTGATGGACATCACTCCTGCTTACAGCTGCCTCCTCAGCAGACCTTGGATTCACGACGCTAAAGCGATCCCATCAACACTCCACCAAAGAATCAAATTCGTGGTAGCTGACAAACTGGTCACAGTTCAAGCCGAAGACGACATCTTGATCAGCAAGTCGTCTACCCTACCCTATGTGGATGCAGTAGAAGAGGCCCTCGAAACATCCTTTCAAGCACTGGAGATCGCCAATGTTGAAAGACTTCCCAAGAACATGAGGGTGGCACATATGATGACAAAGTACGGGTACCGCCCAGGCTAGGGACTTGGTATGAGTTCCCAAGGAATAAGGGAGCCACCAGATTTCAAGGACAATCCTTCAAAACACGGTCTAGGGTACGACCCTACTACAAGAAGAAAGGGAAAGTCTCCCCTCCGCCCATTGAATCAGATCTTCCGAAGCGGAGGGATACAGGCATCAAGAGCAACTTTAGTCATTAGGTGTTCTTCTTCCATTTTTTAAAAGGAATGTAAACCCAATGACTATTAGAGATTACTCCCCGGGGCAAGCCCGACCCCCGGGCATTTTTAGGGCACATATTACCCTTTTAATCATAGAAGAATATATTTCTTACTATCTACTTCTTTTCTTACTATTCATGTATATGCCTCATTAATAACCATGCTTAAGCAAATGTTTCTAAAAGGCGTCTAAAAATTTGAAAGCGCACCATCAACAAAAAAACAAATTAAACCATCACTAATTGATTAGGAACACAAGTAAGGTTTTACCCCGTCATAGTGAAACCGTGTTTTGCCAATGTTGCGAAATAATAAGAGAGCTCGTAAAAGCCAAAGGCCAAAAAGAAAGGGCATCTAACCCGGTAGGAAACCCACAAAAGGGGGCTACGCAAAAGTTAGGGTCAACCCGCTAGGAAACCCGAACAATAATAAAGGGTAGCTTAGGCAAAAGATAGGGTTACAAAGCAAGGTCCATTAGAGTTTCTAAAGCATAATAAAAAGAAACCCCCCACAAAAGTTAGGACGAAACGCGACATCCTAGATTGAAAACCCGAAGGGCGGTCTAGGAAAGACAATCAGTCTTAATAAGCACCGCAAAGCCCACCAAGTAAAGACGCAACCCCGCAAACAAACGTTTGTTTGAGCTAAGCCTAAACAGTTTGACTAACCCTGGCTAGCCATGCTTACAAATACCATTGGTTTCAAGAAATCCCCTCTAAAAACACAAACCTTTGATTTAATCATCCTCTTCCTTCTTTTCTCTTGACCCTCATCGCTATGATATTCTAGTGATTAACCAGGTAATGTGGAAACATAGTAATCAATAGGAGGATTGAAATTCCAAAAAAGGGAAGAAGCACACTAGTATGATGAAATAGCTCTTCAACATGATCATTCTTCGGTTAAGGCAAACCCAAAACGGCAGAAATGGTACAGCTGAAGGTAGCACCAGAAGAATCTCACCATCGGGGAGTACATCAGTTAAATTTTCTAAAAATATTAACTGAAATAGCATTATAAGTTGTATATCATGAATATTACATGCATAGATATTGATGAACAAGGTCCTATTTCCTTCAACAACAAAAAATAATAATAATAATAAAAAAGAGCAAATGGTCATCTGTTTAAGGCAGATGGCCGTTCGGAGGTGGCCGTTGGGACCAGATGGCTGTCCACTTTGAGCAGATGGTCATCCAGGGGTTTCCGTTGGGGGCAGACAACCATCCACTCTAGCCAGACGGCCGTCCATAGGCTACCGTTAGGGGCAGATGGTCGTCCAACTGCACCAGACGGCCGTCCGCCCATGTTTTTTTTTTCCTATAAATTTGGGCGCCCCAAATGGCTCATGGCACCTCATCCTTGCATTCTCTCTTCCTCCTTTACCTCCCATTTGCATATTTGAGTGTTCTTTGTTGAGTAATGGATCGTGGAGAGTCGTCTACATGTCGGAAACGCTCCCAGGGACCCATAAGGAGCATCCCCCCTCCTCAGGTTCCCACTCAACTAACAGAGCACACTAGTGGAAAAATAGCATTCTATGACGAGTTTTTATCACGGTTGTAGTCCACCCGTCATAGTATGTAGTGCGGTGGCAATTTTGTAATTAAATCATAAACTTTCTATGTCGGGTAAATTTTAACCGACATAGTAAGTGGAAAGGTCACTTTCTATGTCGGTTAAAATTTACCCGACATAGAAAGTGAACTTTCTATGTCGGTTATAATTTACCCGACATAGAAAGTGAACTTTCTATGTCTGCGTTAAGTTTTACCCAGTACATAGAAAGTGTATATTAAATAAAAAAAATTAAATATATAAGTATATAAATATTTATATATCAAAATATATAAATATATTTGTATTTATATATTTTGTATATAAATATAATTTATTTGTAAGTTATGTATCGGAAATTCGTAGTAGTTTAGTGGTTGGAGTATCGGTCTCCAACTCTAAGGTACTAGGTTCGAATCTTGTTAGACACAAATCTCTTAACAGATAATAAAATAATATATTATAAAGTATAATAAAAATATAATATGAATAAATAAATAAAAATCGTATTAGTGTAGTGGTTTGTCTAATTCTAGACTCTAATGCACTGGGTTCGAATCCTACCAGTAACAATTTTCGTAAGAAGTCCATTACTTTCTATGTCGGTTCATTACAACCGACATAAAAAGTCATACTTTCTATGACGGTTCATCACAACCGACATAAAAAGTCATACTTTCTATGACCCCTGTATCTATGTCGCCTCTTTAACCGACGTAAAAAGCTCATTTTAACCGACATAAAAAGCCTTTTTTGCACTAGTGGCAACACCAAGCTAGGTTTGCCAATATCAGCCAGTTTGCTTGGCACCCTATACTATGGTTGGACTTCAGGATCCTAACCATGTTCGGTTGGGATCAGGATGTAAGGAGATACATCCAGGGTATAGGGTGGGACTTCCTGCTCAAACACTACTATAGAATGATCATTCAACATCGGGTGTAGAAGGCTTTCAACGTCGGTTCTAATGACGTCGTTGAATCAGGCGTCGTTGAATGTCAAAGGATTCTACGTCGGTTCAGAAAACCCGACGTAGAATCCTCTAAATATCTACGTCGGTTAAACCAATGTCCGTCGTAGAAATGAGTAATTTATACGCCGGTTATTTCACTAACCGACGTTGAATGTTATATATACAACGTCAGTTAGTTCTATGAACGACGTTGAGAGGTAAATACTATGTCGGTTAATGCAATAACCGACGTTGTATATTCGTTACAACGTCGGTTATTACATTAATCGAAGTAGAATATCCCTTTTTTTTTAAATAATGCTCTGTTTTTAGTGCCACCAACAGTATACGACCTGCTATAATCTCAGTCATTGACAGTATATATATTTCAGCTAATCACTATATATTACTATATATAAAATGATAGATATATATGTCAAAATCAGCCAAATTATTTACAAAAGACACAAAAAATTGTCAATCAATCCTATTCCTAACTACTTGGACAAACTTTTCTACCCATTTGTTTCTAACCATGTCTATAGTTTCCATAGGCAAAGGTTCTATATCTTTAAATGCCTGTAAGAAGTTCACAATAATAGAATGGTAAACCCTAAGCAATAAAAATAAAGGAATTGAATATAATAGCAAATGTCAACTTACCTCATTCCAACTATCCTGAATGCTACCAAAAATGATGAGTCACATCCAATACATTACATAGTAGCCGCACTCGTATCCTCCATTTTGTTTGTTACACTAAAAATGACTAAATATGTTGAAAATAACTATTAAATTTGAACATAAAATAGATAGTATAATATATATAAAGGCTACTTACTTTGATAAAATTCCAATTTGGAGCTGTGCTTTTACTTGTGTGTTTTCCATCTAATGTACTACAAACCTTTAAAGCACTATATATTGAAAAGAAGGGGCTTAGAAATAGAATAATCAAGATGTTTAGACATAATATAAGAAATACTTACTCTTTTACAATATTTTTTAGCTCCATGTCGGGTTTTCTTCCCAATGAGCAGAACCAACACACAAGATTCTGCTTTGGACAAATAACTAATAGTCGCCAGTGGTTTACGTATATACACATGATTAGAATCTATTAAAAAAACTTGTGTAAAACCGGAAGAGGCTGGGATAACTTACGAATGATGGTATGCTCCAAGGTAAATATCTCTTTTAGAATCGAGTCATCCAATTCGCATGTAAGCGAGAATTTGATCACGCTTATTCCTAGACTTTTGTATGGATTGAGGCTCAAAGAATCCATACACATGACCAATGCCCTGCTCCACTATCATTTCATGCATCATCCTAAAATATGCCAATTTAAGTGAACTTATACCTTATATATTTACTAAAATGAAAAGAGTCATGAAAGATATGAACTTACAATGTCCAAAATTGTAAAACAGCTATATTTAGACATTGATTGTCCATCCCAATCTCCAGGGCATCAGTGTGGGAAATGTATAGGGGGATATTGCTAGAAGCCATCCCAAATAATGTAGAATCCCATAGAACTTGGAATGACTGCATATACAATTGTGGGAAAAGAGACAAGAGATCAAAAATTGGATTTGGAGAAGTCCCCACAACTAGTGTCTTCTCCTTAGATCCAGAAGGAGTGGTAATAGCTTTACCCAAGTCTATTGGCTGCTGAACATCCTACATATTTTATAAAATATAATCATAAACAATAAATCAATTTATTTATGTGTTAGATGTATTATAACCATACATATACATACCTTTGCCATGATTGACCTAACTAAATGTCGGGGCCAAGTAATGAAGGTTTGAAGGGCTTGGCCCACTGTCTGCACCTCTTCAGTGGGGATAGGGACACTAGCCTCAGCGTGAACCACCTTTTCAACCACTACTTTGACCAAGTTAGGATCCAAAGGCACATTGTGGATGGTTGAAGCCCCTTCATGAACTGATCCATGGGCCACTAGTCTTAGACCTTCATCTACCTCAACCCACAAGCCATATCGATCATCCTTTGTGGATTCAGGATGAATAGATGCCACCTCATGTGTGACCTTGATAGTGGCTTCAGCACAACTGCCCTTTGTGCTAACTCTTGGACCTACAAATACAGTAAATTCCAATAAGGACTAAGATTTTAGAAACACAAGTCAAGTACCAATTTGTGGTTGAAAATGCACCTGATGGAGGACGAACATCAGCAAATGAAGTACCCATGGAGGTCATACGCAGGAACTGCTCCTGCACACATGTAGTGAAGGTCTCCTCAAGTCGTGCGCTGATGGCAGGAGTCAACTCTTCCTCCAATTTTGCCTTGATGGCTGGTGTCAATTTCTCTGTGAGAGCCATCTCCAAGGCAGCAATATCTTCTTGGCTCAGGGATGTGGAGGTGCGGATATCTTGTGATGGTGGTCCAAAATACTGTCGGATACCCACACCTTGGCCAACAGCTCGAACACGACCTGGATGTTACGGTCGTCCAATAGCGAGTGGCCAAGATATCCTGACGACCGAAGGGATGAAAGTTCCCTGTGTACACTTGCTCCTCCAAGGCATCCTACTTTATAAAAGTTAATTTTATTAATGAACATGTTACATATAACTAATTCAAAGTAAATTAACTTCTTTTACTTACAATCCGAGCAGCAATTTCTCGGGCTTCCTGCGATGTCATGTCACCGGAAGGCTTTGTACGAGCCCTCTTCCACTTCACGGTGACGTTTTGGAGGAGATGGTGGAGGAATCTGCTCTTCGCTTAAACCAGAAGAGGCTAACTCCGACTGTCGAAGTCTAATCTTCTCCTCCATCATCTTCTTAGTCAATAGGTCGTACCCACCACGAGACAGAAGGTGGGGGGCGACATTCTTGCTTTGAATGTCTTTTGCTTTTTGTCTTCTTTCCTGCAACATAATTGAACACAATATTAGATACACAACTCATTATAAAATGTTCAAGTCAATTAAGCAATTAACATTACCTCCCACTCGAACCAGTCCTACTATGTACAAACTTCTTCCAAGTGTCCTCATCTATGCCATATCTTTGGCAAGGGGTTAATCCCTTCCTAACTTTGTCCTCAGCATACACCCATTTAGTGGTCAATGTGGACTTGAACTGTCTCCACATTTTTGCTATGGCTGTCATTACCTTCCTCCTCACATCCTCAGAATTGACTATATCAAAGTGTTCCTACAGTAGCAAACAAGTTTTAGTTAACCAATTGATAATAATGTATAAACAATATAAACAACTAAATACACATACTTACAAGAAGATCTTGCCATAACAAGTTCTTCACAGTTTCCTCCACATGATCCCAAGTAGGATGGAGAATAGATATCTACACAACATAAACAACATAAGTATCAACAATATATTTGAAATGAAATTCACTTTGAAATAGAATAAATACCTTCTCTCTAGCTAGTGTACCCAAGTAGCTATTAAATTGGGTACTAAAGGGACCTGACACCTTGCCAGTCCTAGGATCAACAGACACAGATAACTTCTGGCCAGATATGTGTCTAGCGGTCAAACCTTTCAACCGTGTAGATTGTCTACTCCTCTTACTGGAAAATGTCTTTCCATATGCCTGAAGAGATGGTGGTGGAGATGGTGGAGGAGATGGTGGAGGACATGCCATTTACCTGTAATGAAAAAAACATAGAATTATATCAATACACATGCAAAGTCTCCTCAATTACATGTTAAAAAAATAAATAAATAGAAACATAACTTAGATTGTATTAATATTTTCCCATATGCCTTCATCATGGTCATTGCGAGTAGC